AGAGATAGAATAAACATGGCATATGAACCACGCCACGTCACCCATTCATCATAGCGTCACACGAGTCGACAGGATGGAGACCTGCCTGCCCCTTCATCAGTCACTCATCATCGAAGCAGTTCCCCAGAAGACGCCCTGACTGTACATTGACTACCAAATAATTGCCTAGGAGGACAACGACCAGCCCCTGACAGAATCATCGGCTGATCTCGACATCCCCAAGTACACCGGATCAGCGGACGACTAACCCGTACAGGACTGGTTCAACCTGTTCGCACTCCACGCTACCGCTGCATCTTGGTCGGAACGGGAGATGGTTACGAACTTCAGCGACTTCGTCACCGGTGAGGCATTCAAATTTTACGTAATTCATATATTCGAGAACGACGAGTCATGGCGAAAAATCAAAGAGGAGATGATTGCCCGTTTTAATGACTATGACCAAGACTTACTCATTGCCAACCATATAAAGACAACTGCACACTATCGTCAATTTCCTAAGCAGTCCTCAAGCATTCGAAAGTCCAGCGCTGATCGACAAGTGCCTCAAGACGAAGTGGCACATGCGTTTAATTACAGAAGGCCATGCGTATATTGGGAAAAACCCAACCGTCAAGCGCAGCTTCCTTGCGCACGAAAGTCGGCATTTCCAAAGTCGTGGCACCAACATACGACACGAGACGTCGCTCACCTTACTGATGCCTTTAATGCTTCGTCTCGCATACATGGTCCACCAGCTGATTTTCTACGACGCAGCTCTTCAAAGGCTCCTAACGGTCACTATTCGTGTCATAAAGACGCCTTGTTCATGGTAGACCAGCTGACACGTGGGGAAAATACCAAACAACGCTAAGATGACTCAAAGAGTGAAAAATCAGTCTTCAGGCATTGGAGCAGCTTACTCCCCATCTCCCAGACTTGGCCCGCCTCCTGATTTTTCATCGCTTGGCTCTTTCGTGACTCACAATGTCCACCTCACATCTAGCACGCTCACAAAGGTCGGGATAGAGCTGCGGAGCTCGGACGATGCTACGCCAAGCCCTTGACTTGCCACCCAGATTCATGCGCCAGAACAGCTCGCATCGTTAGTTGCACAGAAAGAGGGCCATTCACAACTCAAACCTTACCGAACTACTCCTGTTGCGGTGTTGTCGTCCAGTGCGCAGCCACCAGAAACTCCAAACACAGAAGGCTCAGACGCATCAAACGTCACATGCTACCAGGTGCAAGAACCACTCATAGTGAGCCACGAAGAAGAAGCCCCTGATGAACGATTTGTCAACTCTGAATGTTTTTTGTCGCAAGAGTTCATTTTCACGGCACCGCAGACGTACCAAAATTTGCACTTTCAACCTGGTGATGCGACGTCACATGTGGTACTCTCATGCAGTGGTCACCAATCCAAGAATCAAACCAATTCAGAAGCAAATCATACATCAAAGCTCGTACACAGTTGTCTTTCAAAGCGTCCGTAATCAACCACGTCACAGAAGCCTCTGAAGAGCACCCTAGCAATGATGGCGCACCACCAACCATGCCCGATAAGCAAAAAACCTGTTCACCATGCATCAGCTGTCTACAAGACGCGTCAAACCTCAAGTAAATGAATGTCCCATTCCGGAAGACTTGCCAGTACAGCCATCTCCTGAGCAGCATCAGCAAAGCAAGCATAGCCAAGCGCGCAACCTCATGCAACAACAAAATAGACTGCAACGAAGGCATCGACTAACGCGAAATTCAACGGAAGCACACTCACCAATTGAAGAACAGCGGAAAATAAGATCTCTAACCCAAAAAGTATTCCAAGACGTCAAATTTTCTCGCACAGAGGAAAGTCGCCAGAGACGCTTCCTGCGCCTGCAGTTACACAGACTGCAACACGACGGAAAACGCCAAGAAAGATGCGGAAGCACTTCTTGCATACCGCCAGCCCGCAGGCATCACGCCGTCAAAATCCGTCAAGAAGCACGCATTTTAAAAGCAAAGCGTCTGTCGCAGCCACGACTCAGAATCCAACGCATGAGACATCCGACCTTCCAACGCTACAAGGACTCCCAACCTTGTTCGTTCCTCAATACTAACCAGGTTGTGTCATCATCATTTTTAAAGCCGAAGGCATGGTTATGCTCTCCAGAACGCAACAGCCAACCTCGCCCACCTGAGGTCTCCTAGATATCACCGGACTGCCTTTCCTGTGAACATTTTGTGCAAGTGCATGGAACCGCCGTGTGGCATAGAAGTACTGCATTTTCTGGCATTATTTTTTTTATTATAAGACTCCATTTGTTCATGCTTTCTAGATTGTAGCTCGCGCATTCTTTCGGGGGGAGGGGGAATCATGTGACGTAAGCAGGTAGTGACGGTTGGTAGAGGCAGAGAAGGAAGAAGTGAGAGATAGAATAAACATGGCGTATGCACCACGCCACGTCACCCATTCATCATAGCGTCATATATATATATATATATATATATATATATATATATATATATATATATATATATATATATACGCCACGTCACCCAATCATCATAGCGTCATATATATATATATATATATATATATATATATATATATATATATATATATATATATATATATATATATATATATACACGGTGAGTGACGGAGACGCCGACGTCAAGGCAGACGCCAGCGTCAAAATCCAGCGGACGGTATTCATATAATTGCTATCACAATAAAACGGCAGGGCAGCAACATATGGGTAGAAAAATAAGGCTCGCGACACGCAGCGCTGAACTCACAACTGAATCAGGCCTCTGTGCTGTGCGATGTCAGCAGAGGTTAAAGAACACCAGATGGTCAAAATTTTCGGAGCCATTCACTACTGCTTCTCTCTATTCATATCATAGTATTAGGACGCAAACTACAGTTATGAATTTGTTAAATCCCTCTTGAATCTTTTACTGTGGAAAGTGGCACTTATACCAACCCCCGTGAGCTTCCCGCATGCGAAAACTGAAAGAGCGCGCAAATAATTCCTTAACAAAGAGCAAATGAGCAGAAAAAAGTGACGTATAATAAAATTTATGTACATTTTTGAGCATTCGTATTCACACTCAAGCAACGTCACTAATATTTCAAGACTTCATGAATGAGATTTTTTAAATGTAGTAAATTACGTTTAACCCTAACAAACATGTTGATATTGTTACAGTTAAAGTCGAAGGGTGCGTATTAACAGGGCGAGGTTGATGGTGGTTGTGGTTGTAAGGGAGAGGAAAAAGGCACCTAATTTCTGTCTGCCTGAGCGGCGACACGGTGCAGTGCCTTATAGGGGTGGGGGGAAGGAGGGATAAAAAGAATAGAGAAAAATAGATGAAGAAATAGAGAAGCAAGCGACGGAAAATAGAAGGAGATAGGAAAGTGGGGATGAGGTCGAAGCACTCCAAGGGCGGGAAACCACAATGCGATAGCTGCACGTTGTCAGGAAACCGCGGAGAGTGAACCAGTCGGCTGGAGCTACGCTGGCGTCAGAGATCACGAGGGCACGTTCGTCAAGCTTTAAATCCTCCGAGCGAATCAGGTAATAATGGCGTTGGTGTCTGTACTAGCTCACATAGCTTCCTCCTCTTTTCCTCTCTCGGCTCATACCCGTTGCATATCCTGGCTGCCAGACAAAGCCCACTGGGCGAGTATGAATCACTTCGAATGTATAGGGTGAAATTGTTTAAGGCGAGCGACTTGTAGCAGCTGGGTATGGTTTGACCAACGGCCAGCTGATTACAGCAGTGCTACCACGTAGGTGAAATCGCTCAAGCGATCAACAATGATGAATGGGCCACTGTACTGGATAAAAATTCTCGCATAGGCTCCGTTTACGTTGTGGTGTTCACAACCAAACAAAGTCTTCTTTGCAGTATGCGACGGACTGATAGCGACTATCATAGCTTTCTTTCAATCAGTGTCGCGAAGTCACTGTGCGAAGATGAGCAATACGCCTGGCTTGTTCGGCTAGGCAGAGTGTCTTCTAGACAGAGTAGTCGCTATGAAAGTCAAATGGTAGACTAGTATCGATGCAGCTTAATGGTGAACATGCGTACAGGAGATAAAAAGAACTGTAATTGGTTGTCTCATGTTTGGCCGTGTTATACGCATAGATAATGAAGGGAAGAACGTCATATCAGTCCTTGTAGTCAGATGATACGTACAGGGTTAACATGTTAGAGTTCTGGTCGTACGTTCTACCAGCCCATTCATCTAAAGGTGCTAAGGGGATTGTGATGATGTGGATTGTGTGGCCCATGACGGGTCGAAGAGGGAACGGCAGTTCTGCTCTGCGGTACGCCTTGGAGGCGAAGACGAGGAAAAGGAAGCGCGAGCGGGGCGTGCGGCTCGAGCAGTTGGAGCGTGACACGGTTCGAACGGCAGCTGCTGGTCGGCGGTTCGGGTCACGACATCGCTTAACCAGGCGTCCGGCAGCCTTGCGGACCTGGTGAGCTGGCTTCCCGCTCTGTGGACGGCGCTGACACGGGAACCGGCAGCATAGTCTGTTCGTGGCCTGAGGTCCTGGGGCCCGAGTGGTGGCACGAGGTGGCCGCGGCTCATGTTGGCGACGGGCCATTAACCTGCACTACAGTGGCCTGGTGATCTACCGGCCTGCAGCACCACCATCACCACCACCACCACCTCACCACGGTCAAGGCAGCGTGACTGCACAAGGAACACCGGTGACGACCGACCTCGCCGCAGCGGCAACAGTCATAACGGCGAGTAGGACAGTTCGTGTGCCGAGGCACGTAGGACGTTTGGCATGTAAATAAGGAATGCTATAGTGTGTTGTGTGTGAATTGTAACAGTTATCGGTTGTGTTAAAGTCTGTGTTGTGTGTACAGTCACCTGACTGCCGGTTGACTTATTCCGGATCCTGGGCCCACATTACACCATAACAAACTTGGCGAGCCTGCCAGGATCCCGCCAGTAACATCTCGAACGCAGAAATCGCCAGTCAGGTGTGTGCACGCAGCACAAGACGAGAGACATGGATCTCGATAAGTTAGCGGCTGCAGCAGCTCGGTTAGGCTTGTCTGGCGCGGAACTTCGCGAATGGATTGAGCGAGAGCAAGTTAGGCAGAGAGATGAGCGCGCAGCTGAGAGAGAAGAGGCCAAAGAAGCAGCCGAGAGACAACGGTTAGCGGACGAGAGGCAACGGTTATCAGACGAGAGGCAGCTGCAAATCCTCCAACTTAAGCTCCAGCTTCAGGAAAGTGCTCAAAGTCAGCCATCTGCGGCGGCAGCACTCGCCCCATCGGCAAATCCGTCTTGCCTGAATCCGCAGAAGTTACTACCGCTATTTGACGAGCGACGCGATGACCTGGACGCGAATTTGCAGAGGTTTGAACGCGTGGCTACTGGGCAAGAATGGCCAAGAGAGAAATGGGGAGTAGCCGTAAGCATGTGCTTAACTGGTGAGGCACTGACTGTCATTGGTCGAATGACTGCTGACGAGGCCCTCGACTATGATAAAGTGAAAAAAGCCCTACTTCAGCGCTTCAGATTCACGGCACAAGGATATAAAGACAAATTTCGGAAAGTCCGGCCTGAAGATGGCGAAACAGGGAAACAACTAGCAGCAAGGATCTCGAGCTATTTTGATAACTGGATTGAGATGGCTGATGTGCCCAAAACATTTGAGGGTCTTCGTGACCATGTTATAGCCGAGCAATTCTTGCGTTGCTGTAATCCGAAGCTGGCCATCTTCCTGAAAGAGAGGGAATGCGAAACCCTTACATCCCTTTCAGAGTGCACCGACCGCTTTCTCGAAGCACCGGGAGTCAATAACATCGGTGAAATTGCAGATATTACAAAAGAGGCAAATAAACCCGGTGCTATGTCACAGTACAAACAGCCTAGTTGCTTTCTGTGTCACCGCAAAGGACATAGCGCTCCGGATTGTCGTGCGGTTCCGAAAGAGTCTGTGAAATGCAAAACATGTGGGCGGCTTGGCCACAAAGCCACCGATTGCAAGGATCAGAGCAAAGACAAGTCGGTGTCTTGTGCCATGATAGAACAGAAAAAACAGGATTACTTCCCTATGGCCAAGTCCAAGGATGAGACATGCGCTGCTGAATACCCCAAGAAGTGCGAGAACCAACCTATGTTCTTAGTCGACAACATGCCAGTGGTCGAAGGACGGGTGCTTGGACAACGCGCACGTGTCTTACGAGACACAGGGAGCAACACGACCATCGTCCGACGCGAGTTCGTGCCGGATCAATGCCTGACCGGGAAGACGGCAAGAGTTATGCTTTTGGATGGAAAGGCCAAGGAACTACCGGAAGCAAACATACAGATACACACGCCCTACTTCGTTGGTGATGTAAACGCGTTATGCATGACTAACCCTTTGTACGACCTCGTGCTCGGCAATATTTCAGGAGTAAAAGGACCACAAAAGCCAGATACTACCTGGGAGTACTCTGACGCCCTGTTCCGTGAATCGACTGGTTCGAGCGAAATCCCGGCATGCTGGGAAAAGTCAACCTTGCTTTCTGCCGTCGTCCGGACGCAGGGGAAGACGAAGAGTATGATGAAGATTCCGCTAGTTGGTTCGCTAGATGTGACCCGAGTGCAGCTAACTGATAGCCAAAAAGACGACCCAAGTCTGAATAGTTGCTTGAGCAAGATTGGGAAGGAGTTTCACTCCAATAAAGACACGACGTACCACTTTTCTGAAGAGGCTGGTCTACTGTATCGACATTACCGCCTTTCTACGGGGAGGACCTTTAAGCAAGTAGTCGTGCCAAGGACACTTCGACAAGACATTTTGAAGGTTGCACACGAGGGCATTATGGCTGGTCACCAAGGCGTGCGACGTACCACAGACCGTATCCTTGAGGATTTTTACTGGCCAGGTATGCATGAAGAAATCAGACGGTTTGTCAAGTCGTGCGACGTCTGCCAGAGGACAACGCCGAAAGGGAAAGTCGGAGTCGCTCCGTTGGGCAACATGCCTCTCATACGGACACCATTCCAAAGAGTCGCCATTGACCTGATCGGATCGTTATCTCCTCGATCAGATAAGGGAAACCGCTATGTGCTTACCCTCATTGACTTCGCTACTCGCTATCCTGACGCAGTAGCCCTACCCAGCATCGACGCTGTCAGTATTGCAGAAGCCCTCCTTGAAATATTTTCCCGAGTGGGCCTGCCTCGAGAAGTGGTTACCGATCAAGGTAGAAGTCTCACGTCGGAACTCATGAAAGAAGTGGGCCGACTACTAACTGTAAAGTTTTTTCGTACCACCCCATATCATGCCATGGCCAATGGATTGGTCGAAAAATTCAACGGTACGCTGAAGGCCATGCTCAAAAGGGTGTGTCAGGAGAAGCCGCGGTCATGGGATCGCTACATTGCTCCTCTTCTCTTCGCTTATCGCGAAGTACCGCAAGCTAGCTTGGGATTTTCACCATTTGAGTTAATCTACGGCAGACATGTGCGTGGACCTTTGAGTGTTTTAAGAGAGCTGTGGACGAACAAGAACATTGAGGATGAAGTGCGAACAACGTACACTTACCTTGTGGACCTTCTAAACCGACTCGAACACACCTGTAACCTCGCTCATGAAGAGCTTGGTAAAGCACGTGAAAACCAAAAGCTTTATTACGACCGTAATACCCGCCACAGAAGGCTACGGCCCGGTGACAAGGTTTTAATTCTCCTTCCTACAGACACCAATAAGCTTCTCATGCAGTGGAAGGGCCCGTTTAAAGTTGCTGAAGCCAAGAATGATGTTGATTATGCAATGGACTTAGGGCAGAGCATCAAGGTTTTCCACGTGAATATGCTGAAGAAGTATGAGGAAAGAGAAATAACGTCTCCTCATCAGGTGGCTGCAGTGAATACTACAAGTGCAACACCTGGGGAAGAGGCGAACAGTGAGAGCAACGGCTCTGAGGATACCATCCCCTCTCTCAGTCTATGCCAAACATAAACGGCATCAGACGTCAAAATATCGCCCAAACTGCAGACAGACCAACTTCAACAAGTTCGACAATTGTGCGAAGAGTTTGCAGACATATTTTCGGACCTTTCCGGCAAGACACAACTTGTCGAATGCTCTCTTGACCTCGTCATCGAAAAGCCGGTTCACGTGCCTCAGTACCCGATTTCTCTAGCGCTGCGTGAGAACGTCGAAAAAAAGGTACAGGAGATGCTTCGAATGGGCATAATCGAGAAATCAAAGTTGCCATATCATGCGCCGATCGTTGTCGTCAAGAAGCCCGACAACACCATACGGTTGTGCATTGAGTTTAGGGAGCTGAACAAGACCTTGGTTTTCGACAGTGAGCCAATTCCGAGAATTGATGTTGTTCTAGCTCTTGTGGGGAAACAGAAATTGTTCTCGAAATTCGATTTCACGAAGGGCTATTGGCAAGTGCCCATGGCTCCAGACAGTCGGGAAAAGACGGCATTTTCAAGCATGTCGGGGCTCTACCACTTCAAATACATGCCTTTTGGGATTAAGACTGCCCCAGCGATATTTGCACGCATTATGAGGAAAGTTCTAGGCAATTTGCCGAATGTGCATCATTATTTTGACGATGTGGTCATCGCTACTAGCACATGGCATGAACATATGGAAGCCTTACGACTTGTCTTCGAAAGAATCCGCAATGCAAACCTCACAATCAAACCGAGCAAGTGTGAGATTGGAGAGCGTACCATTACATTCCTCGGACATCGCATTGGCGAGGCGAAGGTAGAACAAAAATGCTGAAAACGCTGGACAAGATCCTAGCCGCCAAGCACCCCACGACGAAAAAAGCTGTACAATCCTTTCTCGGTCCTACGGGCTATTACAGGCAGTTCATTCCGAACTACGCAGAGACTTACAAATCCTTGACTGACCTTACCAAGAAAGGCCAACATCACATCGTATCGTGGGGACCGACGCAAGAAAAAGCATACACCGTGCTGAAAGACAAGCTCGCCGCAAGTCCCATACTGCAAACACCGGATCTTTCGAAGCCTTTCGTGCTCCGTACTGATGCCTCAAGCACAAGCATCGGCGCAGTGCTTCTGCAAAACAGTGGGGACGATATTTTACATCCGGTTGCTTATGCTAGTCGCAATCTGCTGCCTAGAGAGGCCCGCTATTCCACAATAGAGCGTGAATGCTTAGCGCTCGTGTGGGCTCTTCAGAAGTTCCACATTTACTTATGCGACAGACCCTTCATTATTCAGTGCGACCACCAGCCACTCCGGTACTTGCAGTCAGCCAAACACGTCAATAATCGAGTGTTACGATGGAGCTTACTAATGCAAGAGTACAGCTTTACCGTAGAATAAATAAAAGGCTCAGACAATGTAGGAGCGGACTACTTAAGTCGCAATCTGAATTGCTCTAATCTTTCTCCATTTATGTATTTTTCATGTGTGTTTTTTTTTCAGTACGTGCTGTGTGGATCACAACCATTCGGATTCGTTAGAACTTGTTCCCTCTTTACAAACGCGCCTGCACTTTTGCCTACTCACCGCCTGGCGTGGAGTGGAATAGTTGCTCACAACTATCTGAAGTGGGGGGTGGTGTGATGATGTGGATTGTGTGGCCCGTGACGGGGCGAAGAGGGAACGGCAGTTCTGCTCTGCGGTACGCCTTGGAGGCGAAGACGAGGAAAAGGAAGCGCGAGCGGGGCGTGCGGCTCGAGCAGTTGGAGCGTGACACGGTTCGAACGGCAGCTGCTGGTCGGCGGTTCGGGTCACGACATCGCTTAACCAGGTGTCCGGCAGCCTTGCGGACCTGGTGAGCTGGCTTCCTGCTTCGGGCTGCGTCGCTTAACTAGGCGTCCGGCAGCCTTGCGGACCTGGTGAGCTGGCTTCCCACTCAGTGGACGGCGCTGACACGGGGACTGGCAGCATAGTCTGTTCGTGGCCTGAGGTCCTGGGGCCCGAGTGGTGGCACGAGGGGGCCGCGGCTCATGTTGGCGACGGGCCATTAACCTGCACTGCAGTGGCCTGGTGATCTACCGGCCTGCAGCACCACCATCACCACCACCACCACCTCACCACGGTCAAGGCAGCGTGACTGCACAAGGAACACCGGTGACGACCGACCTCGCCGCAGCGGCAACAGTCATAACGGCGAGTAGGACAGTTCGTGTGCCGAAGCGCGTAGGACGTTTGGCATGTAAATAAGGAACGCTATAGTGTGTTGTGTGTGAATTGTAAGAGTTATCGGTTGTGTTAAAGTCTGTGTTGTGTGTACAGAATCACCTGACTGCCGGTTGATTTATTCCGGATCCTGGGCCCACATTACACCATAACAGGGATGAATCGTAGAACTGCGAATTGCACAGATGAACCAGTTCTTCGACGACGTCCGCAACTAACTGACGACCGCGATCACAAATGATCACTCTGAAAGAGCCATGCCGAAGAATGATGAATCTAAGCAAAACATGGTCATGCACGCCGCTGTCGAGAATGGTATCGCCGCAGTTTCTGCGTACCGAGACAGATGGTCGACGCATACTATCACCTATCGATTGTTGTTAGTCGAACGTGAAAATGGGCCCAAAAGATTGATACCAACGTGATCAAATGGTAGATGAGGAGTTGGCAGTGAATGGAGAAGACCTGGCGCAGGAGTCGAAGGGCGCTTGTAGCGTTGGCATCGTTCGCAAGTTGCGACATAGTGCTTGACTGTGTCCCGCATTCTGGGCCAGTAAAAGCGCTTTTGTGTCCTATTCAAAGTTCTGATGAACCCCAGATGACCAGCTGTCCCAACTTTGTGCATGGCTTTCAGTATGTAAAATTGTAGGCGCTGTGGTAGACTAACGACTACAAGGAAGCGTGCGTCTTTGGCTGAATAGTTTGTCTTGTATTGATGGCCACCAAGGACACAAAAGCAGCCGGTGGCTCGAGGACGTGATCCCACGACAAGTATTAGCTCCAAGCTAATATCAGTCTCTTGTTCTTTCCTGAAAGTAATTAAGGCTGGAAATGTGGAAGAAATGGGGGCAATATAATCGTCAAAACTGTCTTCGCCACACTCAGTCGTCTGCAGGGGAAGGCGGGAGAAACAGAGACAGAGAGTGGTGTTGGGCAATTTAAATTACTTAAATGAATATAAAGTGTTAAGCCCTGCCTGCTGCGCCGAAGTATCGCCGACTGCCTGATTAAAATAAAAAATAATAGGACAAGATATGTCAAAAATTTTTTTGATAAAACAAAAGAAAGGTATAAAAGAAAAGGGAAAACACCACTAGTGAAACGACAGCCGAGGGAACGGACCGGCAAAATCAGGGTATTAATTTTGTATTTATAACAAAACTAATTTACATTCTATGTCTAGTCTTCGTCTTGACTGACAGCCCCGCCGCGGTGGTCTAGTGGCTAAGGTACTCGGCTGCTGACCCGCAGGTCGCGGGTTCAAATCCCGGCTGCGGCGGCTGCATTTCCGATGGAGGCGGAAATGTCGAAGCCCGTGTGCTCAGATTTGGGTGCACGTTAAAGAACCCCAGGTGGTCAAAATTTCCGGAGCCCTCCACTATGGCGTGTCTCATAAACATATGGTGGTTTTGGGACGTTAAACCTCACAAAATCAAATGAATTTTGACTGACAGTGATTCTTCTTGTTTTGTCCTCTAGTGTAAACCAATACATAATGATTGTATCTTAATTCCTCTTGAATAACAAAGCTTCCATTTCCTTGTTCTTCAAGTCGTCGTGTCAATCTTGTTCTTCTTCCTGTTTGTTGTCATGATGTCTTTTCTCCCGTCTTTTTCTAGGCTGGTGTCTTAGTTTCTATCTCGTTTACCTTTCTCTAAGGTCCTCTCGTTATTGCTTAGGCTCTTAATTCTGGATTTAGGTTCAACATAACCAACTTAGCTACACTACAAATACGTATACATGGACATGTTATAGTATTCTTCTAATATATCTATACACATACGTTTGCACGACGACATAGACCAGACATAAAAAATGAAATTAATTTGTATACGGAATCGAATTATTGTACGATTCCCCCCTTTCTTTTTTTTCGCCCATATCGTTTTTCATCAATTTTTCTCTTGTTCTTCTTGCTTTGTCTTTTTTTCTTTTTATATTGTGTGTTTTTTTTCTTTCCAATATATATTTCCTTTTGTTCAGTTGCCATACTTTTTTTGTTTTTTTCGTCTTTTTGGTTCTCGTTTTCTAATACCTATATCAACCTACACAGAGATATACACATACATACATACATACAAACACAAATATAAACATATTAGCACCTATAGACATAAACATATATAATATAAAAACATACATTTATGAACATAAGATATGTTCTCATGACCATAAACACACAAGTATACATACATGTATAATTTGTATCTAATCAAATAGTGTTGATTATATTAGGTCTAGGCTTTCTAGATGAGACGGTGGGTTATTTCTACCAATCAAATAATTATCTTATGGACATATGGTCATATAACGGATATATTCTCATCCATATGCGCAACACACTTATATATATATATATATATATATATATATATATATTGTTACGGGGAACATTTATTCACCGAGAGCTGGTCTTGCTAACGGCTTAAAGAGCGCACAGTCATGCAGGCCAACGGGAGAAGCTCGAGAGTCCAACCCACAACCACCACGTTGTCGTCTTCTTCATTTGGGTGCCAATTCAGCTGTGTCAGGGCGACAGTCCCATACACGTATCAATATATATATATATATATATATATATATATATATATATATATATATATATATATATATATATATATATATAGATATACTTACACCTGTATACCCCTAGATATTTTGAATTCCAGGGTGCGAACATGCCAGTGACGAGGGTCCTTTTAGTGTAGTAGGACATATGAGGTCCCTGTGTAAAGAAGCGGTTGGTAGAGATCGGAATTTTAGATGGTTTATGGCGATGCTTTTGATGTCATCTGTTGCCACCATAGGTGGCCTTGCTGT